GCCTTACCAGATGGCTACATTCTGGACACAGTAGGACCATTCACTGGCAGCGAAAATGATGCTACAATTACAAAAAAAGTCATGGACAAGCTAGTTACTTGGCTACAACCAGACGACAACGTTGTCGTTGACCGAGGTTTTAGAGATGTCCTACCAGTTCTCGAAGCCTCTGGCCTCAATGCTAGCATGCCGTCATACCTGAAACCCGGTCAAAGTCAACATTCTGACGTCCAAGCAAATCTTGACAGAACTATCACCAAATCGAGGTGGATTGTGGAATCCTATCATGGTCGTCTGAAACACTGGACGTTCTTCCGAACGCAATTGGTGTCTAACAGCTTTATCAATGTCATCGAGGCTTTGCTTCGAACCGTCACAGCCTGTCTGAATGGTATTAGAGGACCGATCTACCAGAGATCTCCAGAGAGAGATGCCAAAGATAGGCTAATGGCTGAACGTATGAAGGACCGTTTGACAACACCGAATGGTTTAGCTCAGAGAGTCAAGACAGATCCGGATCTATCTAGACGGGCAAGGTCCGAGTTTGTCAAGATGGATGCATCTTCCGTACTGTTTCCCCGTCTCGATCTTGATTACTTGAGAACCATTACGTGTGGAACGTATCAGATATCTCTGGCTCCTGGTTACATCGCCGAACATTTAAGTGATGACGGAGACTATGAGGTGTGGCTTTACCAGCACTCCCCAGACCTTCTCCGATGTCAAATACATTCTCGACACAAAAGCCAAACGAAATATAACGTTTGGATACGGTTCACCGTTTCACCCGATGTTGAGGCCCCAATAAAGGACTACTACTGCCAGTGCCCAGTTGGAGAGAGAACGATGGGAATGTGTGCGCACATCTCCAGTATCTTGTACTACCTTGGGTATTACAGGACGCTGGAAAACCCTCGACCATTACAACCACAGGTAAAGAAATTCCGACAAAACTTGAAATAGTTTTCCATGCGGCAACGGAGTGCATATGTCGAAAGTATGTTTGGGGCTCGATATGAAAGATCCCCGTTACCATGTGACTAACCAAACTTATAAATATAGGTATTATACAATCGCCCGTAGCTATGAACACTCCCGTAAATGCGAAAACCAACCAAAATCATAAGGAACACGTTTTGTTTGTTGTTCTGTCTATTTGTCAGCCAATGTCTTCAACCACGGGGACTTGTGAAGTAGCCATCTTGGATTTTTTTTATGAAAAAGTGTTTCTCTCACTTTTTTTCATATCTGTGTACATATTCTCAACATACCGAGCAAATACTCTCGTTTTTTTGTTAATTATCTAAAGAAAGTCGAAAATCGGCAATTCAACCATAGGCTAATTCAACCCAACATTTGAAAATGTTCCACCACTTACATTTTGATGATTTTTCCTCTCATCAATAGCATATTACGTACTGTTTAATAGGATAAAAATTGGTTTGCATCCAACGCCCATAAAAGGGTGTATTCTCTAAAAAACACAGTTTTTGTGTCTAAAATGTTATCATCGAAAATGGCATTTTTGAGATTGTTTCTTCCATAAAACAGCCAAATGGCGCGATGGAAACATGATTTTTTGTCACAATCATGCCATGAATGTATTCTTTACGGTGACCATCATTTGATTAGATTTTCATTAATATTTTACATAACATGCACATTTTATCAACACTTAGACAGCTTCTGAAAGGTACAACTTTGAGGAGCCATAAAAAACAAACCAAGTGACCTAAATCTTTATACTTTATAGATTTGTGACCAAAACGGCATGGGCAATGCACCACCAACAGGAAATTTGAATCAGAGAAGGGGCCGTTTTGGAAACCGGCCCTTTGTACATCTTAGATTTACGTATGGCCAATTCTTCTTAGAAGGGAGAAACTTCCTACTCCTTTTGTCATTTTCAAATTCTTTAAATTTTTCCTTCTTGCTTTGTTTTGTTTTTTTAAGCAGGAGGGCTTGGGACACTTTTTACTTAGTCATGCAAACACATTACTGATCATGAATTAAAAGTTAAGATGAATCATTTAAACGACCTAAATATGGATTGAATGGCATTCAAAATTGACACCAATAATTAACCGTTAAATTGTCATTAGAGCGTTTGACGCAGGGCCTGGAGCATGATATCCAAAGCAAAGTGACAAGACTTTCATTGAACAAGGTTAATCTATGACGTCATAAGTAAACCAGGTGTTACGTCACGAGAGTTTATGCTTTCATACTCGAATGAAATGCATTTCTGCTTGTAATTTTCATATAGTGGGTTGCAGCGCAAATGTATATTAAATGTATATTACAATAAATTACATTCAATTACACCAATACTGATACCCCTCTAGGCTAAATTAATTTAAACAGAATCGGGAATTCCCGGGACCGTCGTTACATGGTCAATCTATTTTGTTATATTTACATTTGCATGGCATTGTCACTATATAGCCTCTTTGAAAGCTGTGTCGTTGATGGGACTTTAATTACCATGCATCACAGCGTATTAATACAACAGTGACCGGAACTACAATATCCAATATAAATAAACATGATGGCTGCTGAAATATCGCTGGGCATTGTGAGATTTGACAATGCCATTGTAAATTTATGTGCAAAATAAAAAATAAAATAAAAAAACACTTTTGTTACAACGAAAAGAAGACCCAAGGTCTGTAATACCGTACAAAATGCACATCGGTTGAAATCACCAATGCCGGCAATGGAAACAATTTTAACGCGGCTGTTATAGAATCTAACGACTGTTGTCAGGTTCCCATACAACCAACAAATACATTCACGCCTGGATTCTTCACATAAACTTCCCAAAATAACTCCTTCGTGGAGGGCAAGGTCGGATTTACGGTGTTCACTGTATTTGTCCATGCGCAAAATTTGTTCCGGGGAAAAATCAAAACAATTTCAAATCTAACTTTCAGGTCAGAGTTTTATTGATAAACTTAAATCACCGCATAGACATATCATACGCAATTGTATTGATACTGAATTGTGGAATAAAATTGAAGTGTTTATAATTTCAAAGTACTTCTTTGTTTGCCAATCAGCACGCGCCAACACGCTGTTCCAACTATTGAACGAAATTGTATGGACTGTGGATAAGGCGAGCATTTTTAATTTTAAATATAAATTATAAGTTAAAAAAGAACATAAGAGGCAGAGAAAACGTAAATATAAGTATTGAACTGTTTTTGTATGGTATTTATGATCTATTTGAATGACACAGCTAGCGCGCATTATGTTGTTTGCTTGCAAAGCTGTGTCATTCAAATAGATCATAAATAATGTACTAAAACAGTTCAATGCTTAAATGAATACCAAGACATGTACAAATTTCGAGAAACGTTAAGAAACTTGAATGGTTTAATCTGACCAAGCTAGTAGAAATGAATATCAATTAGCCCATGACAATTTTCACTAGCCACAAGCTACCGCTCACTAATTTCAAACCCTGTAATACAGAATAGATTATCCTAGATACTCCAGGAAATACACTCACTTTCGTCCTCTGTACCCCCTGACATATTTAAAAGGCTCAGTGTGCCCCATTTTGTGGATGAGACAAGAAGACTAGTTTGATTCTTTGATGTACATGTATCAAGAGAATCTTGCAGTAGTATAACAGTTAGATTGACTGGCTTTGAAGTTTGGTGTCGCTCATCTGTAATCTTCAAAGGACAGGTATCAGCCTATAGCATTTGGTCTGGGGGGTTTTCCACCTATTTTCTTTCTTATATCCAAAACATTCTGAGTAAGTTATGTAACACCTGTCAAACGGGACACAAATTAAGGCTTCCCTTATTCTCTAATTAGAGAACCATTTTTTTGAATCGTTAACAAGTTCGTGATAATTCCCATATAAACTATCATATCAAAACAAATATCTGTTGATCATCAGACATCTCTGCTACTCGTCAAAGTATTTCGGCTGTCAAATCTGTAGTACTTTTTATCGACAATGCACTTCATCTTTAAGTGACCTCATGATAAATAATTTAAATCAGCATCACCACCATTATAATTATCTAACATACAAACTAAATCAGCTATTGTTAGCTTGCATATAATGGATTTATTCAGATGGATGCAATTGCATGATCTGATGTGAACATGAATAATATTTTCTGGATGTATCATGTTCTATTACAATACTGTATTTTACGAAATACTCATGCATACAGCATATTGCATTCAGGCGCCCTGGACTGTAGACTGTCCTGGAGATTCAATGTACACGTACAGTTCATCATCTAGTTAGCTGTCCATCAAATGTCTAAACCCAAAGCACCTGCGACCTAATTGTCAGGATGAGGTCTTTGAGTGTGGGTCTTAAGTCCCTAGCCCATGCAGGATTTCAGTAACAAATCATCTGATGGGTATACTGTACAATGTATCTTTGAGTCTAGTGGTGATCAGACTTAAATGAATGAAATTGTTACAAACCGTGATTCACGGGAAAAAAATATGTAAATATTAGTAATAGTTTACAATTTAGACAGTTTATGACTGACCAATTGAGTACGAGTAAATTGAAGAGTTGTGTTTGTGTCCCAAAAATAACTTTACAATGAAACTTGACACTCGCCTGGGGCTGTGTAACCACGGACGAAGATAAACCTTAGCTGCTGTGTGTCGTATATATTACATAACACACAACAAATCATGAACGCAAGATTACGCGAATACCCATTGTTCGTATTTATATATAACGGTTAGATATAAAATTGTTTATTCATCATAACATGCATTATATATATAAATAGTGTGCCATCAATAATGAATGCATGGCACATTCCATTGAATGTGTTTACGTTGTTTGTTTACATATTCAATGCGAGAAATATATATTGTTGTCTTTTACATTTTCACGTTTAGAGTGAACAAATACGACGTAAAAATCTTCAAAAAAACAAAGAATCGTTATAACAAAAGACCAGATACTAGAAAATGACTTAAACAGCATCATGACGATTAAACACGTGGCTTACCTTTCCTTTCACAGCAACAGTTTTGGCGCAAACATCGAATTCCGGTCGAATCGAGGTCGGGCTGATGCTTCATCTAGGCTAAGCTTAGGTTAGGCAGGGACGTATAGTGTCCCTGGGTTAGGTCCTAGTGGGAGATGCTAACTCCTCGTCGTGTGTGCTTAAAGTTTCCGTCAGAAATCAGCTTGAGGAACAATAAGACATGCTTAATCAGTTTGTTTACCCTACAACCATTTGATCGATCGTTCCCAATGACAAATTCATTACAAATGTGACTTTCAATCACAATATATGCATCGTGTTGTGATCCAAGGGAAGTAACTCCAGTACCACAGAGTAAACGCTGTTACCATATATATGGTGACCTGATAATTTGTTACAGCTATATATTTGGACCTAACTAAGGTGTTCAGAGTAATTTTACATGTTTACGTCAAAATATAGCTGTAACAAATTCGACCCACATTCATTTTTACCGAAAGTCGATCTAAACCCCTTCTAGTCGTAAGAATAGCTCTTCTGAGCTAAAGTTGCCATTGTTACAAACACGACTCTAAATAAAAATTCTTGTATAACATAGGGCGGATCCAGGACTTGATGGAGGGCACGAATTGATATGTGATAGGGTGTGTTTAAACAAAACAAAAAAAATAGTATTGAATTTATTTTAACTCTGCTGGTACTCTGAGCATGGCTTCTGATGGGTAATGCTTTATTCTGCTTACATTCAGTGTGTACAAAACTACACTGAGTTGGGTTGAATATCGGCCCTTTTTATTCCCATTTTTAAATGCATTCTAGAAATTACTTTTGAAATATATGATCATATACAGTTTAACATATAAACTAGTAATTATATTTTGTTATAAGCATTACATTAAGCCTCGTTTTACTGCATAAATTTACCAAAGAAAAATATCTCATTTAAGACCAAAAAGTGTACCGCATCTTAATTCTAGAAGTAATGGTTGAAAAGGGTGATTATTTTCTTTTATATCAAATGTTCAGTGTTGGGATATTTAAAAGATACGAAACAAATATAAGTAAATTAACAAACACTTAAATGCAGGCAACTAACCAACGTAGCTCATTATATATTTTTTATACAATCTGATTAAAATCATTTGTTACATCAGGGATGTGTAGTACACACCCTGGTTACATAGCTTCGTTAACTTCGTACTACGCCTGAACATCGTTCAGGCGGCGCCATGTAACAGATGATTTTAATCAGATTGTTTTTTATACTGCATGCGACCGTTTTTGTCTATATGGGGACTTGTTCCCCATGCAATATTTATCGGTGAAAAAGTTGTCTATCTATCTATCTTGTTAAAATGCACAATCATCAACCCTATTTGTACTACTTCTACTGTGGTATATAATATATATATATATATATATAGACTCACTTCTGAAGTGTGTTTTTTTTATGGCAAAATCAATTTATTACAATTACCATGGCGGTCAGTAGAAACGCTGACAGCTATGAAGAAGGCTTCCCTATCATGAGAGTAAACCATTGACAGCCATAACCAGTGTTTGATTCACAAAATTAATTGACTGTTTCGAAATTTATCGCCAGAGGACATGTACAACTTGAACCACCTGTCCTGGGCACCCCGCCGACTGCAGTTGTGATACAGAGACACTTGTAAACGTGACCAAGTCCTCTCTCCCCAAGCCCTGGGGCAGCTAATCATAGCAGGTGAGGCCTTCACACCTAATTAGTGTACACAATCAAGCCAGCTTCCCATCGTCTGAATAAGAAATAACGGTTTTACAGCGTGTAAGATCTTTGACAATTTTCTCATTTCGCCGGAGCAATCGCCAAATGTAAGTTACCCCCAGATTTGTTGTCGGGTCCACTGCCGGGCGTGCCCCCTGGGCTCCTCCCTGGATCCACCTCTGAACATGTAAAATTACTCTGAACACCTTAGTTTAGGTCCAAATATAGCTGTAACCACGGAATTAGATTAGTTATCTGACTCCGTGCTGTAACATAGTATCAGGTCCCTGTGAACGCTACGCCATTGAAATGAAATGTGATGCTAATATTTTAAACATTTTCCTTGAAATAATACAGATGTCTTTTAATCACCAGAAAATCAAAATAGTTAATAGTTCGCTGCATCTATACCAGTTTTGGGATCTAGCAGCGTATATATATAAATTTCCTCTTCACCGGACTCAGAATCAGTATTTGAGGTTTAGTAATACCACGGAATTAGATTAGTCCGTGGTAATACAGTATGCTTATTTAACCTAATTATTTGTTATTATACTGTCATTGGTTTTTTTTAAAGATGCATAGTAGTGATCATATACTAAAAACATTTTTTATATTTGTATAATAGTCTTTTATTTGCACCTTGATTGGATAAAGTAAATATATTCTGCACAGACAATGTGGGAAATTTAGATGCATATTGATATACAAATATTGAATGAAGTAAACGAAATTATGATAGGTATCTGCGTTATGAGATATTAAATACTTCAGAGTGTATTAATGTACATGACCATTTTACTAACAAAATAATAATAGATATATTCCAATATTAAACAGGTAGACAAAGTACGTACACACATGCTAAAGTTATATGCTAATGCAAAGTGAATATGCTCGTAATAAATTGTCGAATTTATCAAAATATGTTTGCGACTTATATGTAACAACCCGTTTGTGGGGTGTTATTATCTAATTTGAAAGGTAAAGGTTCTGGAGATGTTGTATGGTCCAAATATAAAATTATTAGAATAACTTTCTCTAGGTCGGTGGGTGATTTCTGTAGTATCCAAAAACACACCCGTACAGTCCGATGCCTAGGTCCTATCTGGAGTTACAAATCATAATCGTGTCCTAAGCACATTACACAATGACAGTTAAGTTATTAGTCTTTAAGTGACACCTGTCATTCAAAGCAATCGGCCTTTCAGACCCAGGCCGTACCCGACCAGTTAAGCTAATTTAGCTGTCAATTCAATTAGTTTATTCTGTAAGTCTTACGACTTATCAGATACAAAACACTATATTAATACATATTACCAGGTTAAACAGAGTAATGATGTACAGGAGAGTGATAATTGTATATAATCGTATCACACACACACATACACACAAACAAGAGTGTGATAATACTATAATGACTGAGAGCGCTTCTTAAAAGCAAATCTGATATATTTACCAAGATTACACAAATCTTTTACATTATTAGCACTGTCCTTTGTCTGAGACTGAATGCAGTGCCCAATCTGGTAATAGTACCAGTTAAACCCATTACGTAATGGATTTTTCTTTTCTTTTCACAAATGTGTTTTACATATACAAACAAAAGGTACAATGGGCCTGCATCGCTCACCTGGTATTAATCTCACACTTGTAATCTTAAAAGTGGACTAAAATACAGCTACAGACAAAATATCAGTGTTTCATTCATAAGAACCTATTAAAAGATTTAAACATATGAAACATGTGACCTTGAATGTCGAACAAGGACATTATAATATTAGGTTCAACAGAGTTTATAGTCTTCCAACCCAGCATCCTTCTGGAAAAATATCATTACCCTGGACCTTTTGGTTATACAGAACAAATCATTTAAAGATTTAAACATATATTGACCACTGTGACCTTGAATATGGGCGGAGATCATTCACTTGGTAGTCCTTCATCCCAGCATGTTAATGGCCAAATATCATCACCATTGGCCTTTTGCTTATTAAGAAGTCATTCAATGGTTTTAAACATATTTGACCCCTGTGACCTTAAAATATATATGTCAAGGTCATTCATTTGAACTTGGTAATACCTTCATCCCAGCATGTTACTGGCATTATCATAGGCCTCTTGGTTATTCAGAAGTTGTTTAAATGTTTAAAACATATTTGCCCTCTGTGACCTTGAATATAGGTCAAGGTCATTTATTTGAACAAACTTGGTAGCCCTTCATCCCAGCATATTACTGCCCAAATATCATCACCCTAGGCCTCTCGGTTACTCAGAAAAAAAGTTGTTTAAATGTTTTTAACATATTTGACCCCTGTGACCTTGGATATAAGTCTAGGTCATTTATTTGAACAAACATAATAGCCCTTCATCCAAGCATTCTTCTGGCTAAATATCATCACCCCAGGCCTTTTGGTTACTGAGAAGAAGTTGTTTAAGGTAAAAAGTTGACGCCGGACGGACGATGGACGCCGCACCATGCCATAAGCTTCGGGCCAGGTGAGCTTAAAATAGCACATTCTCTCACACTCACATCTACACGTTTAAAATAAGACTGTCATCATCCTTCACCTGATTTTATCATCATCATCATCATCATCATCATCATCATCATCATCATCATCATCATCATCATCATCATCATCCATCATCATCCATCATCATCATCATCATCATCATCATCATCCATCATCATCATCTTGTTCCACAAATGCTTATATCTTTTAATGACATATATACAACAAAATCTCGTAGTTTCTTAACTTCCGCACCAGACACTCGTACATCATCAACAGAGAAACACCTCCATGTAGTTTGCTTACTCTTTGTATTGATTATACCAACATGAGAGAGAGAGAGAGAGAGAGAGAGAGAGAGAGAGAGAGAGAG